TAGGCAGTGGCAGTGAGATGCGGCTGACAGCATGCAGGGTGCCAAACTAAAGAAAAAGCCCCAAAACAAAAAAGGGGAATGTAAACCTTTGCTACAGATGCCTCCCGGAGAGAAAGGATTAGAGGACGCCACATATCCCAGCCCGAGCACATTGCCATCGTCTTTGAAAGACTGGTCTGTGAACAGATGACACAAGCAAGTAGTGGCTCTGCACTTATAGGAAAAGGCCTGCAAACAAACATGCACAGGTGAGCAACAGAAACATAGTACATGCAAAACAGAAAGAACAGAAGCAATTCTACTCTAGCAGAATGTTCACCAAAGATATCAATATTCAAACCCCAACTAAAGTCACATAAAAAAAAAAAACTTGCAGCAACTGCTTTGAATAAAAATCTAGCCCTACAACTTCAAGAAGCTTACCAACCTTACAGCACACTGAAAAAAGCTTTTATTTCGCACTACTATTTCTCAAGTGATTAGCTGATGCCCACATGCTCACTAATGAGCATAATTCTATCTGCATCCCAGCCACCTTAAAGGGGTAGGGAAACGAAATTTCAGCGCTCATTTTTTAACTTTAATGTGTTGCATGTCGCACCCTAACCTCAAAAACACGTCTTCCGTTGAGAAGCACAAGAAAACTAATTTTAAAGCTAAATAAACGACTTTCAATGTGCACCTGGTGGATGCATGCGGAGCCTATTTGGGAGGTAGTCTAGCAACGTTGTGGAAACTGCTACGTAGTCGTGACGTAGTAGTTTCCTTCGGAGCAGCGCCGCTCTTTGGCATTTCAACGTTTTCCTTCTTAGCTTTTTTCCTGAACTCACAAATCACGTATTGTACCAAACGGTCCAAGAAGACGGAAAGGGAGGACTCCTCTCTTTCTCGAACCCTCGTTCGTGCAACCGGAAACAACCACTCTCCCCCTAGAAGATTAGCCCGTCCCTCAAAACTCGAACAAAAGTCGCTTTCCCCACCTCACCCCACGGGTACTGCGAACGGCTCGGTTGTAACGCGCTGACGCTATTAACACCACCACAACGCTGACAACGCCACCAAGGGCAAAGCTCATAACCACGTCTGCTTTGCTACTCCACGAACGCGGGAAATCTTTTCTTTCTGTTTTTGTTTGCGCCGGATATCCCATGACGCATCGCGCTCTCCGTTCGCTTCTCTTCGAGCGCTTGCTCGAGTGCACCGTTTGGAACGAAAAATATAGCCAATCGTTCAAAATACAAACGTGCGATTATCATTTACGGTTATTATCCGTCATGCTCGACTCATTTCCGAACGAAATCTGAATATTTCAATTTATGTTTCCGTACCCCTTTAAAGAAGAAAGCAATGCTAAAGGTGGAACGAAGGCTATAACTGTGTCAAGAACTCATGCTTTTTCAGTGGAGACAGTTTAGAGCAGGGTGCTGGCACCACACCCTCCACTGCACCATTTCAATCAAATTGCATGGATAAACAAAATGCTAACTGTACTGCGAGACCTTCTTTTTTTTATTTTTTTATATGTAATAATGTGTTTGCTTTTCAATATCAGATGTCCCACAATATATGATCAATGCAAAGTTTGGTTAGTGGCCTTGTTAAATACATGGGCAAGTTTGAAACTCTGCAGTGCCGATGGTTGGGCAAGGTGGTGCTGAATTTGAGAATACATGGTAGCACTTGCACTTGCAGATAATAAAATCTCGTCCTTACAAGCGGTGCTGAGACACCAGATTGGCTGTAGTGTAATGGCACAATGTATAGCCTTGTTTTTTTTCTATGAATAAACCGTCGGAAATTAGTGCACGGTGGTGCCCAGTTCTCCTCCTTTTGTCCTTGTCTTTTGAGTGCTACCAAAGTACAGTACGACCTCGTTGATGCGCTCTCGGTTGATATGTTTTCCCGGCTGTTACGTTCAAAAAAGCCGGTCCCGTTTTACCTCCATAGAGATGCATGTACGAGCTTTCTGCCTGTTACGTTTGCTTTCCCGGTTTTTATGTCCAAAAGTGTCGGCATCGCAGCGCCTCGGTGCGCCGGGCAAAAGGCTGCCACACTGGCTTCGAAGCGAAGCTAGTGGAGCAAAGTTGAACCATGCAATGCGGGTTGCACGGCAAGCAGGGGCACGCAGATGCCCGTCTTCCCTTTACTCCTTTCCACCTCTTTTTCGTCTCTCTGTCTCCTTGCTGGGCTTTGCCGAGCTCTGCCACAGCTTCCCATCTTGCCCGGGTGCGACCTTGGAGCACTGCTCGGACGAGGAGCGAGACTGGCGAGGCGACAAACACTCGTTCGTTCTTGCTCTCTCTTTTATCTGTCCTTCTCTTACTCTGGCACGAGGTGCACCAGCATGCACGCTGCGCTTCTAGTTTCTGTTCCGCTCGATTGCGTGAACCGTGGTGTTTCAGAGTATGTGTGCTTTGCGCCTATTGACGACGGTCATGGCATCGCGAAAAAGGAAGGTACTCTCTTTTAAAGAGAAGTTTGATATACTTCAGACGGTGGATCGCAATCCCAGCTGGAAAAGATCTGACATTGCAAGAGACCTCGGACTCGCGCTGTCCAATCTGAACAGCCTTGTTGCCAAACGAAAGGAGATTGAGGTGAAAGCTCCTTTTTATCAACCAGACTTTAAACAGGCTCGGGGGCAAGACACGCAAAGTTGGAGTGTCCGAGTCCTCAACAGTTCTGTAAGTACACATAAAAAAGCTCGAGGTACACCTAAGCCACCTAAGCACTTCTTATGAGTTGTGAATGCGAAAGCATGCAAGCCGCTCGTCCGCTCCCTTTGTCGTCTGCTGCATACTTTTCGTCGCCGGTCAGCGTGCCTTCTCCCCTGGGCACGCTGACCTTGGACGCTCTGTGTTAAACACATGCTGATGGACACGCAGCACCATGGAGTGAGCAGTCGTGGAAGCTGACGAGCGCAGCGGCCAATGGGAGCCTCGTCGACCAATGGAACCCAAAGATTGAGGAAACTAGGTGCCGTTTTCGCGCTTCAAACTGATAATGTCAGCTCGCTCCATGGGACCATTTAATGCTTTCACATTAATAACCCATTGTATAAGAGCTGCTTTCTATCTCATGTACAGTTCCCCTAAGTGCATAATCGGTTGTTACGTTTTCCCAGATGATACTTTTTTTTTCCGTGGTCCCCTGAAAAACGTATCAACGAAGTTCTACTGTACTCCCAAATTTGAAACTGTCTATTTCAGTCTGCAAAACTACCACAATGTTCTGAAATATTGTAACCCATTCTTTTATTCTGTACAACTTCCTGTTATTAAAACAAAAAAAAACAAAAAAAGGTGTGAAGATCGTTTAGCCTAAACATTGAGACACCTAGGTTCCAAGAAAAACACAATTCAAGTGCCCAAAATGACATGACCGAACTTATTTTCTCCACTTGCACTGTGAGCTCTGACATTCAGTCAGCATCATGTTTATTGCCCCAATTGAACTCAAGATGGCAAAACATGCAGAAACAACCGGTCCAACCAACAGTGGCCTGTCAAAACAGTCTTACGCCCTTTTGTTTGTGAAGACGGCTCCAGGTTTACCTTGTTTATTTTTAACAAACAGCATGTTCATTTCATTCATGCTTAGTATTTCATATGACTTGAGCTAGAGGTCACAATATTTGCCCTTCTATTCTATATAAAGTAAACTCTCACTTCAGCGAATGTCGGTTTAACAAATACTTCAGAATAACGAACTTTAAAAAAATTCCCGGCGGTTTACCTATGCATTCTTTGGAAAAATGTCTCAGTTAAATCAATTAACGAATTTCGGAATAGCAAATATTTCAATTCAACGAACTTGATTGGTGGGCCCAGGATTGTTTTTGCAATCCGTTCAACGAAGTTTTGTGCTCTGCGGTGCTGGCGTAGCCGATGCCCGCCACCTCGCCGCTGCCACCTCTGCAGCGGCACCGTATCATTGCTGACGTTTACATCGCCGCCGAGGCAAAGCAGCAGTGCGGTAGACAAAAACTAACCAAGTGGCGTGTCTGTTTTTCCTTTGTCATCGGTTCCGTTCTGCCATTTTAGTTTTGGGCAACAACGGCAGGACGGCAGTTTTTGCGCCCACTTTTGTAATGAGTAGGCGAAACGGAAGCGGTTGTCCCTATCAAACAAGCTCAAAAGGATACAAGAGAAGCTTATAATGCGTTCTTAACTTGTATTTGACTGCAGATAACAAGCCAAGTGACGTTTATGTACTTAAAAACTGCGAAAATCTAATTTTGTGATTGTTTAATCGGGTTTCAAGGCAGCCACAAATACTGCAAAGAAATAAAACAACCTTGAAGGGACACTCTAGTGGATTTTGAGATTGCCTATTTATGGTGATAACTCAATCCATGGGGTCTAAGCATCATAAAAGCAACAAAAGTATAGTCGAGGGTGGCCAATTTTCCTATTAATAATCTAATCATCAAAGATCTTCTAATCAAACATTGTGACACGCCTCTCTGCGGTTTGATGGACACCGGGGGGCACTATTGAACAGCATTTTCAAACAATAATTGCTGTATTACGTCTCCTACACCCCAAGATTCAATGTTTTTGTCAAAATATAATGCACAATGTGCCTAGAAGGAGCCATAATAGTAACGTCTGGAATTTTCATGCCATTAACTATTTTCATTGGTTAAATTTTATGGAGGTGTTGAGGACCCGAGGTTACCACCCCCCGCCCCCACTTCCAGGAAAAATAGTGCCCGTGTATTTCTATCGCTGTGAGTTTATTAGGATATTTTGCCACCCACAATTGGTCCTTTTTATTGACTAAAGCTCAACAAACAATATGCCATCAAAAACAAGCTTCACTTGAGTGCCCCTCCAAAATAGGCCAAAAACACATGGAAGAGTTGTACTACAAAAATAAGGCAATGTTATGTACCAACTAGCCCAACTTATTGCCCTGCAGCGGTCACCAATATCCAGAACATCTACCCGCAAACCAATGTTGTCAAACGTCTGGTGAAGGACTAGGAAAGGACTTGCCTCCAGCAGGTCCCTGACGTTCCAGGTGACTCCGGCCATGTTGTAGTGGACTTCGTTGCGGAGCACAGGGGTTGGCTCGGTGTGCACCATCACCTCCTGGATGACGAAGCCCATCCCACGAAAGCCGGGGTGCCGGTCGCTGTCCCGCCACTCCGTGTCCAGGAATATCTTGTTCACACGGTCGATCAGGGTTATCTGCAGGAGGCCAAATGGTCCTTCAACCAAACTGATCCTCGAATAATTTCATTCGCGACTCCTCCGCAGTGCTTGCCGAGATGTCAGAGACATTTTGAAACCATAGTAGTGGACTCTCTATGCAGAGAGCTCATAACGCTAGATTGATTTCCTTCCTTGCAAGGCTGATGTTGATCGTAGAGCCATTGTATAGTACACGGGTGGCCAGGCTGACCCGGTCTAAGAGCTGCAAACAAAACCACGAAACTTCAAAGAGCCGCGGGGGGGGAACAAACTTTTGTTTAGAGCAATATACGAAACTCGAGCTACTTTCAATCTATCCGAGCACAGACTCCTCTCTACTGACAAAACCTGGCACATCGCCACGAGACGCGGCCGCCAAAATTGAAAAGGTAAAGCGGCCGACAACGAATGAGAGGAGAGTCATGTAACGGGCGCCCCGCTGCGGCGAGACACCGAAACACACTTCTGCCGAGCGATGGAATGACCCCTCGTGCTCCTCACGTTCCTTGCGCTACCGCTTCGTTTCTCGTCGGGTTTGAAAACCGTGTTTCGGATCCTTGCCGCTGCAAAGGCTCTGCGCTGAATACCAGATTCCCCGAGAAATGCTATCTGCTACCAGATCCTCGAGCTCCAAATCTGCGACCGGGCACTCTATGGCTCCGTCGTCGAACTGCCAGGCTTTGTGAGTATAGAGGAGGAGGAAGCACAAGACTACCAAACCGCAACCAGTCTTTCGATTTAAAATGCGTTCCATTTCTTTTTTATGGGAAGTGCTCGTGTGACCACGAGGGAGGCGGGGGAGTGGGGAGGGAGGCGGGGGAGTGGGGGAGGTAGGGGAGGGAGCCGCGAGCCGCACTTCAACACGCGAAGAGCCGCATGCGGCTCGGGAGCCGCAGCTTGGCCACCCTTAGTCTAGTACATTCGGTACATCAGATTTCAAGAATTGCATGCGTGACACGTGACTTCACGCTCTGCACATCACACCGCCAAACTGAAAGATCACATGACAACCTCCGTGCTATGGATTGGCTCCGATGGCTCATAGCATCCGTTGAGTCCATCGTAAGGTGAAACGGAGTATAGTGTTTGATTTCGTTGTCACTGGCAGGGACTGGCAGAAGTGCGAATGGCAGCCAGTTCGAAGATATTTGGAATGCTCAGTTGTCCTGCTGAGTTGCGTGTAAATTTAATATCTTTGCAGGAAACTGAAATGCCGCAATCGTGAAATGTCTCACAAACTTTCCTAAAAGACATCCAAATTTCTGAAAAAGCAACACTTTAGAAGGTTTTTGAAGTGCAACTTGGTACAAAGTAATCTTGTTAATCCCTGAAAGTTTCTTCCTTAATTACAAGTAAAATTCATTCCAACCGCTATAACTTGTGTCAGAAAAAAAAAAAGGCAGTTTCTTAAACACAGTGAGGGCACAGGTGAGCTGGTGTAAGCTTACCATTATATTAAAACACCGGTACAGAACCAACTGGCGTTTCACTATGCTCAAGGAGGGGGAGGAAAGAAGGAGGGAGAGAAGGATAGAAGGGGAGGAGGACCAGAAAAAGAAAGAAGGAAACTAAAAAAAATTTGCTGAAAAAAAAAAAAAAGAGGGGATTTGACGTTGGGAGATTTCCCAGCGATTTGTTGTGGGCACTTTGTTGTGGGGAACCAGAAAATTTGGAATGCAATATTTTCTTTTCATGTGCTTAGGGCGTTCTAGCAGATTTAGAAACTCTGTTTGTGGATGTTCGACTAGATGCTGGTTGCTTATTACAGATAATTAATGGGGTTAATATTTTTAATACCCCTGACTCAGCTCACCGTGGAGATTTGTTAGTGGAATCGGAACAGCCCCTTTCAAATAAGTTTGGAAACAAATTTTTACCCAGGATTGACCCAATCCCAAAAAAACTATAATTCACGTTGTGAAATAAAATAACAAAACAACCCAAACTCAAAATGCTAAGAAAGCAGCTCTATGAAATCAAAACCATTAATCTAGTATGTTCTTGAAAACCTGACAAATAGGCCCAATGTGAAGATTGCACGCTCATTGCTCCTGAGAGCAATAAATAAGTTCTAAGTTTGACCACTTAACGCAGTCTTGATGTCGTGTAACGCGCGTTAAGCGCGAAACACATGCGTGTCAAAACTGTACGATCCGACGTGCGAACTGCCGGAACGACGTTCGGGGGCGAGGGTTTTCATAGCACCGGAGGGCATCGAAAACCCTTGCCTTTGAACGTCTTTCCGGCAGTTCGCACGTCGGATCGGAAAGTTTTGACACACATGTGTTTCGCGCTTTACACAACATCAAGACTGCGTTCATTCCAAATCGTCTGCTTCCCCACAATATACCCACAAAAAATCGCCGGGGACCTCCCCAACCGCAAGTCCCCCCCTCCCTTTTTTTTTCTGAACAAATTTTTTAGGGACGTCTTCAGTTTCTCTTAAACGCCCTCCTCCTCTCTCTCTAATCCTCCTCTTCTTCCTTCTTCCCTCCTCTCCCTCCTTCTTCTTTCCCCTCCTTCTCGAGCACAGTGCAACACCAGTTGAATCTGTGCCAAAACACCTTAAACTGGGTGTGAAAAAACCTTGAAACAACCAAAAGTAGAAGAGACAGGAAAAGAAGTTAGCTCGACGAAGTCGTCTGGCTGACTTATTTTCCTGTCTCTTCTACTTTTGGTTGTTTCAAGGTTTTTTTCACACTTAGTCTCAGGTGTTTTGTTAACATACCCTTTACGAAAACCCACCAAGCAACCATTTGCTGGTCATAATAATCTAGGCAGCCCTTCCAGTGTGAGGTGCATGTTTAAACTCAAAGCTGAAGCCAAACCGCCCACTGATGCAATGATTGGAAAACAGTCCATGCCTAACAGTGATGCAGCACTCGCGTCTAATACGTGCCCAGAATCCACGACCAAAAAAAGGCAGCTTCACATAATCAGGAAAGCCGCTGAAAGATGATGCAACTAGGTGGCTTATTATATTATGCAAAAGTAAAATGACTTCACCTGAGATAGAGCACAACTCACTAAGCGACTAGTCTGCCCCACATTTTCTGAGCTCCACTGTCCCGCTTTGCACTTCAGTCACCAGGTCACACCAATTTGAGCTGCGGATACCAACTGGCCACAAGACCAGACGCGCATGTGCGTAGCAGGAGAGTGAAACTACGCTCCTTTTTAGTTTAGCTACGAGCACAGATAAGCTTAAAGGAAGTGTGGTCAAAGCTTTTGACAGTTTTGCATAAACTGGCAAACCACAAGAAAGCTCAGGACTCCCGAAGATTACATACCAAAAAGTTGATGGTGCTCTTGAGGTTGCGGCCGCCCATGTTCTCGTAAAAGCGGTGGTCTGCCACCAGCAGCAGGGAGCAGCGCGTCTGCACGGGTTCCCAGTGGTAGGGCTCCATGGCCTGGCGTTTCTCCACGTGGCTGCTGCCACCACCACCCTTGCCGTGCCCTTCCCAGTGACCCGAATTCTCGGCTGCATCCCCGGCGGACTCCAGGCTCGAGTTGGCACCTTCCTTCACGTAGCCACAGTACTTTGTCCTGTGCAGCCACACGGGTGACAGGCATCATGTCCAATGCCGCACTTAAAATAGGAACGTGAAAATAGAAAGATATGGTTCCTCACAGAGATTCCGCCCCATGTGTCGGGTCCCACGAATACTTGACGTCGGAAGCGCGGTAGACGATCATGGTGGCGTTGCTGTCCTGGGGTATATGTCTCCACGAGGGCTCCACCACATAAATGTCATTCTTGACGCGAATCGAGGCTGTCATGACCCCATCGTCCATGTGGGCGCTCACGTTGGAGTCCAGTTCCCCTTGAAAAATTATAGACAAAGCCTTGGCTATTCCCTTTAACCGCCTTTGACACTGTGCCAGGCAATGAACCTTGATGCTAGGGCGCCAATGACTCACCGAACACTCGTCCTTCGAAAAACTGGTTCTGGTCGACCCATACAGGCCTCTTGTTGCCCGAACCATCGACAGTGTATGCTTTAAAGTGAGCCGAGAGCAGACCCTTTGAAGGATTTAGGATGAGTCTGAAATCCCTGAACGTTTGGAGAGCGCGCGAAAAAGAGAAATAGGTTATGCCAGAAAACACGGACGGTACAATGTGCAATTTCGGACGCTTACCTTCCATGAGCTTTGAAACTGACTTCCTTGATTGTGCTGAACTTATGTTTACTGGGTTGCGTTCCTCGTTTTGTGATGAAATGACTGAGATCGGTCACTTTCAACGTCTCGAAATATTTGAGCTTGTCGAAGATGGTTGACGCTGCGTAGACGATTTCGCAGTTAACACCCCAAAAATTTGACACAACGAGCACCAAGTGCAAAATGTGTAGTTTTGCAAACTGCTGACGAAATCAGAAATATATTTCTTTAGAGGGCAACAATCGTAGTTTCTAACCATGCTGAAGGAGGCCCGATAGAGCATGCATGAAATATAACCAATGAATTTCTCGACAAATGAGAACTTACCTTCGCTAGCGCAGGTGACTGTTAAGTAGAATATCACAGAAAAAGTTCTCCAAACGCAGAGAATCATGACTGTTTTTCGGAATTTTGGACCAGGAGCGCGAAAGTCGACACTCCCAGGAAGTTTACATTGCTCTCGGCAAGAACGAACGGGAAGTGACGCACGATTGTTGTGACGCCAACACAGTGTTGCCGCTAACTTTTAGCGAAATGGTCAAACCAAATTTCGGTCAAACAACTGAACTGAAATCAAAACTTCAACACGATCGCCGAAAATTCCGACGCGTTGTAGAGGTTCATACCTGCAGCCTGCAGTCCCGTCGTTTTGTCTCATTAAAGCCAAAAAAATAACAATATAAAATGTTATTTCCAATAGAGTACCAATTTTTAGCTTTGTTTGTTGCTCCACCTGCCTAGATCATCTTTTTCGCACAAACGATGCGTTCAGGGCACTTTTCTATATTAATAAATTTGGCAAGCTTTGATTTTGTAGGAGTAGCAAAGGTGTTGGTGTCCTCCATTATTAAACGAAAATCCCCAGAAAAGGTTGCATTTCCAGGGTGAACTGAAAGCTTTTTCTATGTCTCGCTTCCCCTGCCCTTAATCATATGTCCCATTCTCTACTCTGAGGAGTATTGACAACCTAGACATATGGAGCACGAAACTATTGGTGTCATTGTAGAAAAGATATTAGAAAATATAAACTAAATAAAACGAAGATCACTCATTTATTTTTTATTTCATAAAAAGCAACATCTTCAGATATGGATTTCGCTCCCAGGAAAGCTTGAAGAACTGCACCTGGAAATAAAATAATACGAATTTTAACACAAAATTACCGAGTAGAACCATTCAGAAATTCAGTGACACCTAGTGGCTCAAGTGCCAGTTAAAACATAGAATCAATTCATCAATGGCAGACATACAAATGCTATGGCGTTCTTCACTGTACAGTTACTTCTCTATTTGTTTCAGTTTTAATGTTGTTGATAAAATTCACCACATTTTATTGTCATGAGCTGTCTGAGGCATGCCAAGCTGAGTATTCCAAGGATTTACATGACACCCTCAAATGCATATGGCAAAAAGCTTGTAAATCTCACCATGGTGACATCAAACAATACAGCGAACTAACGTCTCGAACGTTCAGGATTGACATCGGTGTTTGCCTTCAAATTCTTTCTTCACCAGGCACAAAAAACCCACCATTAGCAGGTACAGATAATATACACGTAGCAAGTGGCCAATACTAAAACCCCTAGAGCCACTGAATTTTCTCACAGTACTGTGAGAAAGGCAGTACTCACAGTACTGCCTAAGTAAAAACCCTCCCACTGGTGCAACGATCGACAGATTGCGGCCACAGCCACGGCAGTCACTGAGCTGCCGTAAGCCGCCACAGAGCCTCTGAGCTGCCGCGGCCGTTGCTGCCACCTGTCGTTTGTGGTGCGTTAAAATTGTTTATGCAATGCTTCTACCACCTTTGGGTACCTCTGTGGTATAAATTGTAGAGCAATATGTTACCAAGCCAATTTGTACGATCCTTTTAAAGGCTTCACCAGTCTTTGGGACCTTACTGCATATCAGGAATACTGCCACCTAGACCTTCAATGGAGCAAGACTTGCAAGCATGCCTCGCTACGGTTGCTGCCACAGTTAAATTCAGTTGCACAAAGCTCCCTTAATGCAGCTGTCAATTCCAGCACTCACTGAAATTCTGAAAAGACAACTTAAAAGTTGTTACACTGGAAACATTCCGTGGCTCCAGCCAATACCGTTACGTTATAGCATGAGCAGAAAGCAAGTTTCTGCATGTGCAGTTAAATACCGGGTGAACCAACGACATGGAGACAGAATCTCTGGCAGCACTTATTTCATGGCAGCCAGACGAAAAGCCACTGCGCTAGCCAGGGCAGTGACAATACGAGTGCTACACCCCTTGACAGGATGGTACTCATCTTGAAACGGAGCGAATGTTAGACGGACGGAGGAACGAAGTGGACGATACAAGTGCAAACAACCGAGAATTTATTTGCAATAAACCACAAAGAAACACTGAAACACACGACTTTCCAATCATAATGGAATGGCATCTGCGCATGACAGAATTGGGTGCTATCGGTTATACCAGTGGTTCTCAAGCATGGATGTGTTGGGGACCCCATGCCACCGGAGGAAGGGGAAGAGGGGGTATGAAGAAAGACCACTAGTTGCAGTGTCAAAAGGACATCCTTTTGTAGCGTAAGCTACACTGGCCGAGGTTGAGCAGTTTCGCGTGGCTCCTGGAGAGCCGTGCTGCGCATGCGCGAGGAGCAGTGACGGAACGGGCAGGACTGGTAAGTCCGTCCCCGATGCACGCGCCGCGCACATGCACCCGCTCGAAATCATGGCTCGCGCTGTCTGGTTGTTCTGGGCGGCAGCTTGGTTGCTTGATACATAACACGGCGCACAGCTGGCCAAACCAACGACGGCATCTGGCACGCCCCAGCGGAGGACTGAGGATTAATTTGGACCACCTGGGGATCGTTTGACGTGCAACCGAAAGCTCAGTTACCATGGTGCCTCCTCCGCAATAAGAAGAGCGGAGAAGCTTAACTCATCGGATCCCGAAGTAGTCACATAATGCGTATACCGTGTGTGTGTCATTGAAGCAGTAGTAAGCACGATAATCAAGCTAATCCTAGACAACCAGGAAAGCTAAGAATAACCAGCTGAACCTAAGCTTACGCTACATATATCCTAGCATAGCCGAGCTGAGCCACTGCAATCTTTTTTTACACTGCACTTTTATGTTATAGACAGAAGTGAGAAGCAGCAAGTAAAAGGATGAATGGATGGATAAATGATAACGGCTGTAACCTTTATAACAGGCGGTAGCTTGCGCCACCTAGCCAAGATCAACTAAAAAAAACATTTTCCGAGAATTAGGGATTGAGGCGAGGGCTCCGCAGAACCCCATTTGAGAGCCATTGGGTTATACAATTCCATGGGCGTTCTTCCTTGATCTAAAAATTTTACCTCACTGGCTATCAAAGCTAAGGAAGCCTGACTCACGCAGGTTGTGCCCTCCATTTTTATTCTGTGAGCCTCTACAATGTTGCGAGCTTTTTGGTCCCTGTGTTTATACAGCACAACGGCACTTTCTAGTAGAGGTCTACACGAGTAGTCACGGTAGTGCAATGCCAAATGTGAGCAAGCGGTTTCTGTTAAAGAACTACAGTGCTCCCACAGGCGAATGTTCAGACATCTCCCCGTTTGCCCCATGTACACCTTGCCGCACTAGAGGGGTATCTCACGAGAGGGGTATCTGGTATATGACGCCCTTTTTGAATGGTACGAACTCAATGCAGTGTTTGATGCTGCATCCGCTCTCCCAGTCTTTTTTTTTTGTGTTTGTGCGTTTTTCCACAGCGAAGCATATTCTGCTCAACTTACACAACCAGACCAGTTATCCTGACTCTAGGGCAGTACTATTAAGATGCTGCAGTTGCGATAAGCGATACGCATGCCAACCAAGGAACTAACATAACTTCAATGCATTCTACCCCACATAATACTGTAGAGGCATGGAATGTACTCCCCGAAGAAAGCCTGTAAAGGTTTAAATAATCCATATACAAAGGTTACTTATAGACCGACACGTGGAGCGGCTCTGTTTACCAACACGGCCGGAAGGCCGCGCATGCGCGGTAGCTATGTGGGCGAAAGCACCCGGCTCTCCGTGTTTTCGCCATTGCGCTCTATGGCGTGCGCTCATTGTTGACGTTGTAGGGACACTTGTATCTTTATTTTTGCATCGTATTTCCTCATAACGTATGTAGCATGCTATGCCCGACTATTTGAGCTCGTTGCCCGAGCCTAACGTGAGCGGTATCGAAACAAACTGTGCGTGGACGGCGTTGCCTACGAGGATCCGTACGCCGTAAACAAGGCCTGCTGGACTTCCGACGTAAAGTTGCTGCCATGAAAGTCGACGGCTCAGGTCGTCGTTTATTTAGTTTTTTCGCCAAGCCAGTTCACGGCCGACACGGTGCAGGCGTACAAGTCTCTCGAGGTCTACGATTACATCGAGTCGGTTTCCGCACTGCCGGTGGGATCAGCAGACTGTGGGTCTGCGGAAGTGTGTGTATTCATTAATTGATTAAATACACAGAGCGTCTTCAAGTCATGGTATGATATTTTTTATACCCTCATGACCACAAGGCATTACAATTCCAGTAAAGGTTTGTCCGTTCTGCATTCTTGGCGGTAACAGGTTACAAGTAACGGCGTTACTAGGAAAGCGTTACTTTTTTCAGTAACGTAGTAACCTACTTGTTACATTTTCGACACAGCAACGGGTAACGCACTTATGTTACTATTTCAAGTAACGTAGTTACGTTAGTCGTTACTGCTTCCCAAGTCTTAAAGAAATTACGCTTCAATTGTTTCCGTGTTTTAGGCGTCAAGCCATGTTTTTCTTTGAGTTTTTTCTTGTATTTAGGTGAAACAGTAAAAGGAGATAAAGTAATTATTTTCAGTTTCTGCATGAACATAATGTTTCTTGATATATGACCTGTATCGTCAAAACCGTAAAATGTGTTAAATCATAATTTAAAAAAGTAACGCAGAAGTAACGTGTCTTACTTTTTATCGGGCAACGCGTTCCTTTTATTTTTAGATAACGTAGCTCAGTAGCGCGTACCTTTTATTTGCAAGTAACGAGTAACGTATTTCGTTACTTTTTTTTTTTTTTGGTAACGCTTACAACATTGCCGTTCTGTCGCCGATCCCTTCTGCTCGCTAGCAAGGGCGTATACCGAGCCTCCGACGAGCGCTTGGCCGGTGCGTTGTGCGCGAACACCGTGGGAACAAAATCCGGGTGGTCTCGATCAGACAACGGTTTCCCTGCACATAAGCAAATCTCGGGACGGAGATTGAAATGGAAGCCGTACTTGCCTTCAAGAAAGTGTTTGCCGCACAAACGGTCGTTCGCGCGAGGCGACCATTCTTTTCGATCCACGGATTTTATCCACCTTCTACGCCTTTCAGAGTCTGCCGGGAACTTGTGGAAACTCACTCCGCTGCTTTTCTTGTACATTTAGGTGTAATTAACGGCAACACAGCTTCGCGGCATGCTGAAATGCTATGACGCCCATGCGAAACGTGCGCGCTTTTGCCCACACCCCCCGGCTCCGGCGCGATCGCAGCGCCGCCGCAGCTCCGTGACGTCAAGCCCGCGTGTCGGTGTATACAAAAAAAGGTGCTTGGAAGACATAACTAATTGGAATAATACAATCCATCCGAGTCAATGAAACTCAGGCCAGCATGACATCACTGCCAACTATCAACACTTTCACAATCTGGGCTAGCAGTTGGACTTTGCCTCCAACTGACACTGTCTGAATCCACAGTTTCATAAAAGTGCAGTCTTCCTTCCAGAAGCTAGAAGTTAAAGCTCCACTCGTAAGCAAACTTAACCAAAACAAGCACCGGTTGTTTTTTTTTCTTATTTTTTTTTCCGGGTAGCTTGGTAGTATCAGGAGAACCAATCGGTCACATGGTGCCAAGCAGATCCAACAGCGCAGGGAGGGTGGAGCAGCTCCTCAGATATGTCGCTGATGGGAATGCCTTAACCTTCTCTGTGTCTTTGTGATGCAATTTGCATTATGCTGCTTGTTTCCTAGCAACCACTTTAGTAAACAAATTTTGTTTTTATGCTGGGTGTTTAACCTACAACATGAACACAGTTTCTTGGTGACGCTGATTCCTTCCTGAAGATATTTACATGTGAGCGAGACCAAACAATCCTTACCAAATGCATCTGAACTGAACCTCATACTAGTAGGTATCTGATCTGGTACCCAAACTCGGATATTATCCTACTCTACCTGTGGAATTGGATGGGTCTGGCACCAAGTCACAAATTGGTTTCGTCGGCTGCTGCTGAATTAGCGCTATGCAGAACAACATGTGCAGTCTTGCACTCCAGTCAAGTTTCACTGTAACTGTACATATATCATCTAAATCACCTAAGGATAAGAATGATGAAGAGGTGCTCAAAAAAAGTGGTCACTTTCAGTGAAGGCAACAAAGCATAAACTTACCCGAAAACAGCATAGCCATGCTATAATCAGCTATCCTTGACTATTTTGATTCTCTAACCACTCTTCTGAAAGGAGAAACAATACATATTTAGGACGCCTGCCAAACAAAATGACGCTTTCTACGACAGAGAGGTAGTAAGATCCTGGCACAGAGAATCGAAGCAGCAGAATGAACACACATGGCCAATATTTACCGACTCAGGATCGGAGAGCCTGAATCCATAGTAGTTAACGTCACTCACTTGCTGCCCAACTTGGTCGATGGTTTTTGGAGAAAAGTCCGGCAGCTTTGGAAGCTTCACTTTTGAAAAGAGCTCATTCAAGTCATATCCTGCAATAAGAGAGGAAGGAAAATGTATAAAATCTAGCTGCAAGTGTTCTAAGACACATAAATACAAACTGATGAGCTGAGAGGCAAATCTGGAAAGTACAATCGTTAACTGTTAGCACCACACGGCTGACTCCTAGCAATTTCCTGCGACACATTTCCTGTAATGAAAAAGCGTCACATGGAAATTGATTAGACATGTGTACTGCATCCATGTTCGGCTGGAATTCGCATCTTTACTCGTTGGACGGAGCCCCAACAGAAAATTGATGTAGCATTCACGTCCATTCTGCATCCCGCGCCGGCCTCCATTAAATGATAAAAAGGAACCTTAGCACGACAATCTTGTCATGTACAAGGTGTTGAGCAAGCACGCTTACAGATGCGGTGGGAAGGTGAGCAGGAGGCAAGGAGAAAACGGAGAGATGAAATAGAAGGGGCAGAGCTGGGGTGTGAAAGATGCAAACTTTGTGCTCCGTAATCTCCAGAGCACTAGCTTTGGCAGGACTGTTTTCAAGGATGCTACACATGACAATGTTCACACTTTTGAGACACAAAATATATGTACAATGTTAATCTGAGCCGAACCTTTGCCACAATAGTGCAGGCAAAAGACAAAATTATTTTCCTAAATTCCCCCTCTAGCTAACTAACTTAGTTACCGCAAAATAAAACATTAATTTATGTAACTCTCTTAACCTACAAGACTGCCATAAGGGAGGGTACTACGTAAGGAACAAAGCACTCATATAATTACATCAACCTTAAAACAAAAAGAATTTGTAATATGTTGTCAAGGCCAGGAGTTTCCAGCGCTGCAGCACTGCACTGCAGCGCGGGCATGTAGCTTCGTCTTGCGTTTCTTTTGTGCGCCTTCTTGCGCGAGTGTTGAAGTCATGTGCTCACGCAAGACTGACTGCATCGGAGCACCGTGGAAGCTAGGAAGTCCTTGACAGTGCGTTAAAAAAACGCCGCCGTCGAGTATAGTAATTTTTTATGCTAAGAAAATTTAAGCTGTACAAAATGATGCCAATCCCTCAACATATGTTTTAGCATATCTTGAGTATACGTATTTCCTTAATAATAGGCAGTGTCATGTGGCGGCGCACCAGGGCATACTTTTCACAGCCGGGCCACATCCGACGGCATTTTTACGATCTGAAGGCTGTCTCACCCGTGGTCTGCTTCACTCCGGCGGTGACTTGATTGCGAGCAACCACGAGGTAATTTTGGGAGAATTCCTTGGCCTCCTTGGGATAGCAGGCAGCGGCGGCTGCCCCAGCTCCCATGCTCGCAAAGATCAGCTTTTTGAAGATGCCACCTGCAAGACATGTTTCCACATCAAATGAGCTGTTGCTTTTTACTTTTAACAATTTCTATTCCCATTGAAAATAAAACCCAAGTTTTGTCTTACAGTTTTGAAATGTGAAAATTCTTTTAAACAGCTGAAGTAGGATAGCCAAATGGAGTTGAATGATAGTAAGTGCTGCAATAGTAAATAAACTAAAGTTTGAAGGATTACGTGGCACACTAAGAAAATGTCTCCCTCTCCACGTAGTAATGGCAAGACGAAAGAGCAAGAATTGCAACAACCACCGCCGTCGCGGCATTCATTCGGTGATGCACGACGATGGTTGCGTCAGCGGACAACGTATGACATTGTTCACGATCTCAGACGATCTCTGACCTCCTTTTCAACATTTATTTCTCATTACCGCCACTAGCAATGGACTCCGTAAGAAATGTTGAGATGTCCTTATTCTCCAAAGAGAATGCAGTCTGCCAGAGCAGAGCTTGGCTGCATGCTTGATAAATCCCCCAGACTTTTTTCATACCCCTTTTTCTGCGTGCAGAGAGGCATATTTAGGCTGATTCGCGCACTATATAGTGTAACACATGAAATGAACCAGAAATCGAAAGAGGAGTTTTCGTGACACATAAGGATGGACCTACAATGGCACTTGAAGGGGAACTCCGCTTCATTTTTGGTTTCAAAGAAACAATGCAGTTCTCTTTAGTATCACTTAGGAGGACAACACATCAAATATTATGACCTAGTTCCATCTGAATGTTTCTTCAATGGTCCGGCAAGCTTTGCAATGCGCCAAGTTGCCAAAATCTGCTTACTCTAGCAGGCGAATTGAGGCGTAACTAACAGCGCAGTCCAGGCTCTGGTGCAGCCAACATTGAGCGAAACATCATCCATTGCTCCTTTTTGTTTGTTTTCACTTCTCCAAGCAAGCGTCAAGGATGACGTCAGCAATGTGTCCTCTCGGCGCGCTCAGCGGTGTACTTGTGATTGGCGGATTGTGCCTGAGCAGCACGCTTCTTGGCAGCCATCAGACCGTTACCGCCACTTCCCGCATCACAACCACCGTCGTCATCTGACTTTCACCGTTTGTGATTTTTGTTTCCTCGGAGTATTGTTCACACTACGTGCATAGACTGATGCTGCAGTTGTGCAGACTTCGCCAAATGTCATAGACACCATAACGTGGTGAGGAGCGCAGTGCAGGCGACACTTGTGCCTGGCACACGCCCGCCCCAACAGTGGCCCGCCTGTCGTGTAGAGAATTGCATAACATCTTGTACCACGTGATAGCCATGTTTTTGGCGGCCTGAACGAAGCCGAAGGTTTGGTTTCGATTTCTGCTTATGTTTAAAATAGGATTTAACAAAATGTATCCCACTTTTTGCGAAGCAAGTGACGTAGTGCCTTTCATTAGTGCTTTTTGAAGTGAAATCACCCACGAAATTTTCGGAATTGAGCGGAGTTGCTTTTTAAGGGGTAACTAAAAAGAAAAAGTTTTTTTTTTTCAAAGAGCCTAATTGGGACAAGCATCTCAAAAAACAATTTTTCTGCAAGAAAAAATTTTTTTTACATCAATATTTATTGCGCGAGACTGATTTTAGTTTGCGGCTATTTCGTCCGTTTTAAATCGCATGCCACGAAGTTGGTGTTCTGCGACGTCTAGCACCAGTTGGCTGCTATACTTCTCATTGGCTAAGAGTTTGATTGACTGCTTAGATCTTGGTTGTTAAACCTTTATATGCTGCAATTTCCTTTTGGGTGGCATACTTTTATGTTTAAAGAATAACCCAAGTAATGAGAGTTATTACTTTTTACAAAAGGTTTACAAGACGGGCACTTCCATCTGGATTCATGCCATAACAAACAAAAGCTTTGCCATTCTTTCATGGCCGGCGATGTGCCTCCTCCCGCCTGTCTCGCCTAAAGCCCCTTCATGTTTCAAAAGTAGCAGAATGTTTGTCAATATACGAGGCACGCGAAACGTGCGGCCCTTGGGAAGATCATGGCGGCGCAGCGCAGCACTGAGCTAGATTTCAGACGCCATAAATTTCCCAGAAGTGGTGCGCGGCACGTGCCTCGAGCATTTCCACAACAATGAATGGCGCCAATTTTCCCAGGATAGAGGGGCTTTAGTCTCGCCTACGTCGACTAGTCGTTTCGCTGAAGTGATCAGTGTTTCGTGTTGACCCAGGTGCTTGAGTGAGACTTCTTGAAGTGAAGTACCGTAGTGTGTGTTTAGCAGCTGTCACCAGTGTTAGTGACAGGAAGCGACGCGGGGGTTTGGCTTTCATAGCGGAATTTGTTACTCTCGTTTTCCTCTTTGCTTTCTTAGCGTGTTTTTTTTTTTTTTTTTGCTTGCGCGTGCAAATGTTGACTTTTTGGAGATGTCAGCTCCTGTAAAGCGGCGCCGTTACTCTCTAAAGTGCTGCGAAATGAGTGATTGTGACAGCGAGTCTTCCAGCAGCCATGTCATCCCGAAAAATCACAAGCTGAATTCTATTTGGCTGCAGGCAATCGGGCTTACCCGTAGCGACAAACGAGTCCAGGTATGTTCTTGCCATTTTGCTCTGGAGGCCTTCGAGTTTCGCACCGAGTGCACCGAACGTCCGCGACTGAGACACAGCTGTTACGTAAAAAACCTGGCACAGCAAGGTTATCACGTAACAGCTGTCGGCAGAAGCCTTCGGACTCCGAATTCTGCATTAAACAACAGATCTTTTTTTTTTTTTTTTGTCGGCTTTTGAGTTGTTTTATTTATTTTATTTATTTATTTATTTGGTACCTACATCGCCCGGTGGGCATTACAGTATTTGGTACCGACATCGCCCGGTGAGCATTACAAACAACTTTACTTACGTAAAGTTGTTCGAATTGAATGTGTACTGTTATCGTAAATCTTGGCTTGTGATTACGTTTTTGCAGATCATCTTATTCGTTTTGCTGGAGAGACGCAAACGACGGGCATAACAATCGTTTGCATGTTCCGCATACCTCCCAAAAGAACTTCTCCAGTAATCTTGCGAAACACGGAGGCCGCACCGTCCTGACTTCCCAGTCTTTTACCTGCTTTAGAGCAGTTTGTACCTGCAAGTAGGTATGACTACTGAAACTGAAACTTGGGGCAGTGCCAGAGAGGAAAGAGACTATATTCGGAAAGCTTGGTCACCCTCCCCAAATTCTTAACTCTCAAATGATTGTACCATAATAAATGCACCAACACCTCTTCCCAAAATAAAAAAAAAAGCACTATGTTCACTTAATAAAAATTGTCTCAGTTCATGCATCTGTCGGCAGGTAGGAAATCTTGCCCAAATTTATTCACACCGCATGATGAGCGCTACAAACTCGCACGAGAGTTACAGGAAAATATCGGTGGTGACTTAAGTTTCCCTGAAATTCTGTATAACCGGTCGTTTGCAGGATCGAATCATCTACTCGAGCAGTGTGTGTCGTTGTGCAAATACGTCGCAGTGCAAAACGCAGTCTCACAGCACCAAGCATAAAAACGGCAGATTTAGGACAACAATCCGGACTCCATTGTTCAATTAAAACAACATAATTTTGTTGAAAACGCCCCGCAGCTTTTTACTCACAGTATGCGTCAGGAATCTTCCACATTTTGAAACGAAACGAAGGAAGAATTACTTTTAAAAACACTCGCTGCCACAGCTCGCTGTGTCCTATCGGTCCAGCTGGACCGGATCAGCTGACGACGACAAGACTGAACCCGTTAAATGTCAACCCCACAACAACCAATTTGCGCTCCGTGTTAGTGTGGGTTTCTGCTTCCAATCCCGCACCACACACCACGAACGTTTCAGCTCTTTGTCGCATCGAGGTGTCGCACCAAACAGAGCGAGATCGCCGAAGTCAACGCAGCGCTGTCGTGAACCTTGGCTTGTGGTTGCGCACTCGTGGACCCTGCGACTCCCTTTGGTTTCAAAGCATGCACAACGATTACGAATGATACTTTCCGTCTTCTCGAAACATCTCAGAGGCACTTCTCAGGTCACGTCTTTGCTACATGTGCTCGCAAACCGAGGAGGTTTCTCGCGTCCCGTCACACCAAAACAATACCAGTGCCATGTTGAATGTGCGTTGTTGCAAGATTTTCACCGACGAAACAAATGCAACGTAAGCAAACCAGCTCTAGCTTCCAGTCTACATCGACGGCACCTCCCCCCCCCCCCCCCCTTCCCCGATCCGCGGCCGGAAGTCAAGACTCTGCATACTCCGCAGCCAAGTCAATCCAAGAGAATCCAAGAATGAGGGGCGGGGCGTACTTCTCCTCCGCGAGGGTCGAAAGAGCGGGAATTTCAAATGTGGAGAGGTTGTAACTCCGATTAAATTACGTCCTGTGGCGTAAATATTGCTAAAAAAAATTTTTGTTTTCGCAGATGATTTGTTTTGTGACATACCGTATTTGCACGAATATAACGCGACCACGAATATAACGCGAGGGCAGGTTTTGATGCCCTCAAAAAGAAAAAAAAAATATTATTACTATTATAACGCGAACCGAGGCCGCGTCTATTTCTCGCACTCGGGGACATAGCAGATGTGAAAAGTCAATGGAAATAGAAGAAATATCAGTTTATGTTTTGACTGCACTCATCCTCACAGTTCAGGTCCTTCCGTTTACAATCCACTTGGCGACTACGCAGATAAGCAGCAGCACGGCACCTGCTTGTCTGGTAGTTCATTTTTCTTCCGTGCGAGCTCGTCGGCAGCCCACAATCCAAACAAGGCACGAAGCAGAAGCACCAACACACAAACACCGGATCACTCTGGAGCAGAAACTAAACAATGCGCAGCAGAAAAAAAGACTGCTGAATCCGATACACGATCATACTTCTTGTTCTGGTCCCTCTGCATAAACAAATGCCTCGTGTTGCACGATTGCGTAAACGTTGGCGTAAACACCGGCGACTAGAGAGAACTTCGGCGCGCACTTTATTGGATGAAATTTGGTGACGTCACAACCAATAGGAGCACGGAAACAGACGCGG